ATAATGAAAGAAAGAAAAATAAATAAATAAAATAAGAACATGAATAAGATTATAGTTAACTAAGTAAATGCAAGGAAATGAAAGGCATAAACTTGATATTAATGAAAGCAAAGCATAACCATTACAAAAAATACAAAGAAAGAAAGCATGAGCATGATCTTGATCTAGAGACCAAGATGCCTAAATGCATGGCAAATGCCTCCTTTTATAGGCCAAAATTGGGAACTATTGATTTGATGACTAATTGATGAGTGGGTGGCCAACTCTTGACTTGGTGACAATCCTTATCTTCTCTTGTCTGCCCAAAACGTCATTGATAACGTCAAAATTGGAGCCACTTGAAAACTTGAAAGTTGTAGGAAATTGTCTTAGCTTTCAACTGTAAACAATTAAGCTCATTTGGACTTCTAGAACTTCAAATATGGCCAAAATACTGAACAGTGCTCGGGCGGGAGGACAGCTTCGGGCTTCTTTGTTGTTGCAATAATTTGGACTTGAAAATGGCCTTTTTAGATCTTGGGCTCCTATGAAAGTTGTAGGCATATGTCTTACCTTTCCATCCATATAAAGTAGACTTAAATCTGAGATCTATAGCTCCAGATATGACCTAATTACCGAACAGTGTTCCGGTTTGGATTGCACCGACATCTCTTTTCTAAGTTTGACCATCTCTTTGCCTTTGCAATTTAAGTTCTTAAAGTCATCAATCAATATTTTCATTTATGTGATAGGACTGCATTTAAAATGAACATTTACCACAAATTAAAGGTATCTTACATTATTAGATATATTATTATAAAACATGCTTTAGTTAAGGAGTTATTGATACTTCAAGTGCAAAATGATGATATAAAACCATGACAAAAATGCACTTTTAAGTACTAATCACACCCTTCAACCAGCTTATTACTAGTCCCTAGTAATCAAAGCGTTAAAACAATTTGCTAATTTCACAAAGCAAGGTATTCATCATTTAACTTCCATTAATCTATCCAGATAAACAAACTCTCGTTAAATTTATATACCTGCTCAATACCTCTTAACAAGATATTCATAAACCTTTCTTTTGTGCTCAATGTATCAACACATAATTATGGGGCTTTTCTTGGAAGAAAACAAAATTTTTGTTCTAATGTTTAAGGTTAACTTCCTTGGGTTGGGATTATTATTTTTGTCTTTTTTTTTTCTTTTTTTTTTGTCTTTTTTCTTTAAATATATATACATATAATTTAAAAACAGCATGCATCTTTAACCCATGTAACGAGCTTTCAACTAATAACTCCCAGACCAGTTGGTCTTAGGGCATTAGGTGTTAAGACACCCCTACGAGCTTAGTAACTCGGGTTGTAGATACTGATATGTAGATAGTGCAATGTTTGATTCCCTTAAGCTTTTCTCCTCAACCCATGTAACAAGTGACACGACTGAAAGATTGATGTCTTCTCCCAAGTGCAGGAGTGTCGAAGTAATAAATAACCCGACAAGATCGGGATCAAACCACAGGGAGGTTAATTGTACAAATTATAAACGACAATAGTACAACAACAATAACAATAACAATAACAACAATAATAATAACAATAATAACAACAATGACAATAACAATAATAATAATAATAATAATAATAATAATAATAATAATAGTAGTAGTAGTAGTAGTAGTAGTAGTAGTAGTAATAATAATAATAATAATAATAAAGAAAGAGAAGAAGATGATGATGATGAGAACTTGGAGATGGAAAATTAATGTAAAGATTAAACAATAATAATAACAAATGTCAAGGTTAGAGGTTTCACTAATGGCATGTCAAACAAGTATAGTATAAACTCTTATTATTATTCAATTGGAAACCACACACAAAGGAGGTTCCAATCAGATTATAGATTGTTAACATGATTACATTAGTCATCTTATTCGATTAATGCTAGTACTTGTAAATCTCGCCAAGCATTCATGATTATAACTTATGTTAACAACAAATCAAGTTCCTTTCATAGCTTAGGTGTCGGTTATACCATACAGTATGAACTATGAAAGTGCCAAGCATTTGTTGTACCAAGTGTAATACAACATAAATCAAGATTAATCATTTAACAAGCAAAGTATTAAAGAGTGAACAAGATAACAAATACAAAACATGTTAGTATCAAACATTAAAGTCCATATTAAGTTTACACTATACTTATTCTTCCCCCATTAGTGTAACCTTTTCACCTGGACATAACTAACTTAGCTAGACACAATGAAAGAAAGCAAAATAGATAAACAAAATAAGAACATAAAAGTTAACTAAGTAAAGGAAAGGAAATGAAAGGCATAGAGTTAATATTAATGAAGGCAGAGCATAAACATTACAAAAAATACAAAGAGAGAAAGGGATAGCATGATCTTGATCTGGAAACCAAGATGCCTAAATGCATGGCAAATGCCTCATTTTATAGGCCAAAATTGGGAACTATTGATTTGATGACTAGTTGATAAGTGGGTGGCCAACTCTTGACTTGGTGACAATCCTTATCTTCTCTTGTTTGCCCAAAACATCATTGATAACATCAAAATTGGAACCACTTGCAAACATGAAAGTTGTAGGTAATTGTCTCAGCTGTCTTGTGTAACAAATTCAGCTCATTTGGACTTCTAGAACGTCAGATATAGCCAAAATACTGAATAGTACTCGGGCTGGAGGACAGCTTCGGGCTTCTTTGTTGTTGCAATAATTTGGACTTGAAAATGGCCTTTTTAGATCTTGGGCTCCATATGAAAGTTGTAGGCCTATGTCTTACCTTTCTATTCATATAAAGTGGACCTAAATCTGAGATCTACAACTCCAGATATGATCCAATTACCGAACAGTGTTCCAATATGGACTGCACCGACATCTCTTTTCGGAGTTTAGCCATCTCTTTGTCCTTTCAATTTCAATTCTTAAATTCATCAATCAATCCTTTCATTTATGTGATAGGCCTGCATTAAAAATAGACATTTACCATAAATTATAGGTATCTTATATTATTAGATACATTATTATAAAACATGTTTTAGTTAAGAAGTTATAGATACTTCAAGTGCAAAATGATGATATAAAACCTTGATAAAAATGCACTTTTAAGTACTAATCGATACTGATATGTAGATAGTGCAATGTTTGATTCCCTTAAGCTTTTCTCCTCAACCCATGTAACAAGCATTGGGCCAATAGCTCCCAAGTCAGTTGACTTTAGGGTATTAGGTGTTAAGACACCCCTTCAGGCTTAATTGCTTCGGTTAGGGAGGCTACGAAACCAAACTTATCTACATTTTTATTATCATCATTTTTTTCTTTTTTTCTTTTTTTTTTCTTTTTTTTTCATGTTTTTTTTCTTAATTATATACAATCCCTTTCCCTTAGTTGTTACCTTTAACAAAAGAACATAAATAATGTAATAATCCAATATGCAACCCACAATCATATGTTAAAGTGTGTGTATGTAAATTAAGGTTTAAGAATACATGTTAAATAAGTATATGAGCAGAATTAAGTGATAACAATGCGAGAGTTTGTAAACCTGAATATTTCAAGAAGTATTATAATAGACGTTGTTAAGAATGGTTACTAAGATGCGTCTCAAGAGTCACTTTAACAAAAGAGCTCATTTACTCTGTCATCCTAGTAACAACAATTATGCACATGCTTTATGAAATGAAAAACAATTTTTTTTTTATCAACTACTACCCTCTCCCCCCAACCAAAACGAGGCATTGTCCTCAATGTTTAAAGGTAGAAAGATAGAGTATAGAAGATATCACCTAAAATAACGAACACTAACAAACCTGAAACACACGGAAACAAATAAAAGTAACAACAAAACACAATAATAAAACCAAAAGACACAAAGATTCACAAATGAAAAAGCATGTGTATGTACAGGTAGTTGTGATTGTGGCTCACATCTTCCCTTGGTTTTACGTCCAAGAACGGCTTAAATGCCCTCTATGGGTCGAGGATAGGCTTCCCATCTAGTTTTCTTAAAAACTGGCAAACAGGGTCTTTTTTAGTCAGATTCTCAAGACTAAGTCGAGCATGTTCTTTATGAAATAGTGGCCATAAATCATAAATTGCACGATGCACATCTCCACTAGGATGCGTCTCAAGAGTTAATAGAAGATTATCTAAAGACTCCTTACTCAGGCCATCCTTAATGAATTGTATTTTATCTTCACGATTTATAGATACCATTCCTAAAGAACGACATTGTGTATTACAAGTCCATCTAGCACATCGATGACAGACTTTCAGTCGTTTTGCACGACGCTTCTTTGCAAAAGTGCTTTTACCCGTTCCAGGAATGTGTGAAATGAAGGAGTTAGAGGACTCACCTGATAATCGGACCTTTGCTTCAATCAACCAGCGAATATCTTCAGGAATTCCATGATTCATTAACAATCTCAATCTTGCACATCTAGCACGGTAAATTTTTGTAATCGCATTCTAAGGCAGAGCGGGAAAATACTTTTTCAATTTTTCAAGATTAGTGTCCATTATCAAATGAGAATTGGAAGTGAGATTCAAAGAATTGCACAAATATCAGTTATTGTGGGAAACTGAAAGAACCGACTTAAGTCACGGAGTACCGTTGTCCGCCATTTGACCGGGGTGAGAGAAACTAGCAAAAATCACTAAAAAAGAAACACAAAAACAATGTGAGAAAAACAAAATAATCAACCTTTATCTACAAGATCATTCCAACCAGTTGATTCATTTTCACTAGGAAACTTATCAAAGTAAGCTTTCAAATGATGTCCATTTTCCTTAAAAACATTGTCATTCATTGAATTCTCAATATCACAGGCCTTATAAGGATTGTTCCATCTTGATCTTAGCTCTTTAGGGAATGCATAGAGTTGAGAATTATACAAGAAAACTTTTTGACTAGTATCAACTTTTTGACAATTTTCACAAGTTTTGCAGAATGCATGCGTGTCCTTGAACATGGTGGGCCAATAAAATCCATTTTGAAAGATTTTTGTAGTTGTCTTTTTTGACGAGAAATAACTTCCACATGCTTTAGAATGACAAAGTTTAATGACACTACTTACCTCATTGTCGGGAATGAATCTTTGAAATATTTGATCAGGACAATATTTGAATAAATTGGGGTCATCACAATAAAAATTCTTCACTTCGTTCAAAAACTTTTCTTTGTCTTGATTACTCCAATCAGCTGGCAAATCTCCTAAAGCAAGAAAATTAATATTTTTATCATACCAAGGCATTGGACTAAGAGAAAGTAAGGATTCGTTAGGAAAGTAATCATCGATTGGTGTGATGTCAGATGCCGAATCTGTTGTCGTTGTTGACAAAAGATTCGCATCAACATTTTCAGTGCTTGTTTCATCCGTGATTTCTTCCTCAGAATAAATCATTTGCAAATCTTCAGATTCATCCAATTCATTTTTACTTAAAGTAGATTCAAGTTGATCATAAACTAATTCGTCAATATGATCTACTTCTTGTAAATCATTATCATCTCCAAGTTGCTTGCAAATGTTGAAAATATTCATCTCCAATGTCATGTTTCCAAATGATACCTTCATCAGTCCATTCCTACAATTAATCAATGCGTTAGAGGTTGCAAGAAACGGACGTCCTAAAATAACAGGAAATGAATTACATGCTTCAACAGGTTCTGTGTCCAAGACAATAAAATCCACAGGATAAATGAATTTATCGACTTGTACTAACACATCTTCAATTATTCCTCTAGGCACTTTTACAGATCTATCGGCAAGTAAAAGAGATATAGAAGTTGGTTTTAACTCACCTAGATTGAGACTCTGAAAAATTGAATATGGAAGTAAATTCACACTAGCACCAAGATCAAGTAAAGCTCTTTCAATTTTATGCTCTCCAATAAAGCAAGAAATTGTAGGACAACCAGGGTCTTTATATTTCAAAGCATTATTGTTCTGAAGAATAGCGCTTACTTGTTCGGCTAGAAAGGCTTTCTTTTTCACATTCAGTTTCCTCTTCACAGTGCATAGATCTTTCAAAAATTTAGCATAGGAAGGAACCTGTTTAATAGCATCCAGCAAAGGTATATTGATCCTTACTTGTTTGAAAGTTTCAAAGATTTCAGAGTTCTAATTGACTTTTCTTTCTTTGGTCATGACTTGAGGAAATGGAAGTGCTGGCGGTGAATCAGTCGTTTCTTTGCAATTTTCAGATTCAACCCCTTCCTTACCCTCAGAGATTGACTCATCATCTTTCTCATAAGGTTCAAGAGTGGGTTTTTCAATAACCTTACCACTGCGTAGAGTAGTGACTGATTTGACTTGATCCATGTGTTGGCTTCCGGAACTACTTGCATTTGCATTGTACTGCCCCTTAGGATTTTGTTGTGGTTGAGATGGAAACTTACCTTTCTCTTGGAAACTGAGAGCAGATGTTAATTTTGCAAGAGTATCTTTAAAATCTGTCATGTTTTGAGCAAGTTGAGTATTGATTGTCTCTTGCTTTTCAATGAATGCATGCAATGTTTCCTCAAGATTTTTTCTAGGAGGTGGAGCATAAGGAAGTGCATATCCATGAGAATTTTGGAAATTATGGTGTGCTTGAAACGGTGGTTGTGAAGTTTATGCATTGTTGTTCTCACTCTTCCAACTAAAATTTGGGTGATTTCTCCAACCAGGGTTATATGTTTGTGAGTATGGGTTGTGGTTGGGCCTTTGGAAACTGTTTAAAGCATGGGCTTGTTCATGGAGACATTCCTTAAAACAAGGCAAGGTTGGACAATCGTTGGTTGAGTGTTTATTTGTTTCACAGATTTGACACACAATGTTTTCAACAGATTTTAATTGACCACTCTTTTTCAATTCTAGTGCCTCGAGTTTTCTAGCTAAAGATGCAAACTTGGCTTGAAGGTCATGATCTTCCCTAAGGGTGTACATACCTCCACTAGATGTATGAGGTTGAGTTTTACTCGGTGCCTCATAAGTACCCGCGGTGTCCCAATTTTGAGCATTTTCAGCTAACAAGTCTAAGTACTCCATTGCTTCATTAGGGTTTTTATCTTCAAAAGTTCCATTGCACATCAATTCAACCATTTACCTATCTTTAGGTGTTAGCCCTTCGTAGAAATGTGAAACCAATCTCCATGTTTCAAAACCATGATAAGGGCAAGTACTAAGCAAGTCTCGATACCTATCCCAACATTGGTAAAATATTTCTCCTGGTTTTTGAGTGAAAATGGTGATTTGTCTTTTGAAAGAGTTTGTTCTATGAGATGGGAAAAACTTCTTCAAAAACTATTGTTGCATTTCATCCCAAGCACGAATGGATCCTAGTCTTAAATTTTATAGCCATGTTTTAGCTTTATCTTTTAATGAAAAAGGAAAAAGCTTTAATCTGATGGTGTTCATGCTACAATTTAAATTATTGTACGTGTTGCAAACCTCCTCAAATTCCCTTAAATGCAAGTTTGGATTTTCCAATTCTAAGCCATGAAATGAAGGTAAAAGTTGAATAATACCTGGTTTAAAATTAAAATGAGATGCATCAAGAGGAAAAACTATGCATGATGGTGCACTTGTTCTTGTGGGATTCATGTGGTTTCTAAGTGTTCTAGCACGGTTATTCTCATTATTCTCATTATGAAGTGATTGATTATCTTCTTCGGCCATATTTTCTGAAAATGATGAGGATACCCTACAAAGTCTACCACTTGATGTACGTGACCACACTCTCATGCACGGTAGGAATAGAATAAAAGGAAGAAGAAAACAAAAGAAGAAGAAACAAGAGAAAAGAAACAAAGTTCTATACAAGAAAAGTGAAAAGAGAAAATAAAATAACTACTATAATTTATACAAGAACTTACCTCCCCAGCAACGGCGCCAAAAACTTGACACGACTAAAAGATTGATGTCTTCTCCCAACTGTAGGAGTGTCGAAGTAATAAATAACCCGGCAAGACCAGGGTCGAACCACAAGGAGGTTAATTGTACAAATTATAAACAACAATTATAAACAACAATAATATAATTGTACAAATTATAAATAACAATAATATAACAACAACAACAACAACAACAACAACAACAATAACAACAATAGTAACAATAACAACAACAACAACAACAACAACAACAACAATAATAATAATAGTAATAGTAGTAGTAGTAATAATAATAATAATAATAATAATAATAATAATAAAGAAAGAGAAGAAGAAGAAGAAGATGGGAACTTGAGATGGAATATTAATGTAAGGATTAAACAATGATAATAACAAATGTCAAGGTTAGAGATTCCACTAATGGTATGTCAAACAAGTATAATATAAACTCTTATTATTCAATTGGAAACCACACATAAAAGAGGTTCCAATCAGATTATAAATTGTTAACATGATTACATTAGTCATCTTATTCGATTAATGCTAATACTTGTAAATCTCGTCAAGCATTCATGATTATAACTTATGTTAACAACAAATCAAGTTCCTTTCGTTTCGAAAATGTAGGTTATACCATACAGTATGAGCTATGAGAGTGCCAAGCATTTGTTGTACCAAGTGTTATACAACATAAATCAAGATTAGACATTTAACAAGCAAAGTATTAAAGAGTGAACAAGATAACAAATATAAAACATGTTAGTATCAAGCATTAAAGTCCATATTGAGTTTACACTATACTTATTCTTACACCATTAGTGTAACCTTTTCACCTTGACATAATAAACTTAGTTAGACATAATGAAAGAAAGAAAAATAAATAAACAAAATAAGAACATGAATAAGATTAAAGTTAACTAAGTAAATGCAAGGAAATGAAAGGCATAAACTTGATATTAATGAAAGTAAAGCATAAACATTACAAAAAATACAAAGAGAGAAAGGAAGAGCATGATCTTGATCTGGAAACCAAGATGCCTAAATGCATGGCAAATGCCTCCTTTTATAGGCCAAAATTGGGAACTATTGATTTGATGACTAATTGATAAGTGGGGGGCCAACTTTTGACTTGGTGACAATCCTTATCTTCTCTTGTCTGCCCAAAACGTCATTGATAACCTCAAAATTGGAACCACTTGCAAACATAAATGTTGTAGACAATTGTCTCAGATGTTCTGTGTAAACAATTCAGCTCATTTGGACTTCTAGAACTCCAAATATGGCCAAAATACCGAACAGTGCTCGGGCTGGAGGACAGATTCGGGCTTCTTTGTTGTTGCTACAATTTGGACTTGAAAATGGCCTTTCTAGATCTTGGGCTCCATATGAAAGTTGTAGGCCTATGTCTTACCTTTCCATCCATTTAAATTGGACCTAAATCTGAGATATATAGCTCCAGATATGACCCAATTACCGAACAGTGTTCCGGTTTGGATTGCACCGGCATCTCTTTTCTAATTTTGGTCATCTTTTTGCCCTTGCAATTTAAGTTCTTAAAGTCATCAATCAATCCTTTCATTTATATGATAGGCCTGCATTTAAAATGAACATTTACCACACATTAAAGGTATCTTATATTATTAGATATATGATTATAAAACATGCTTTAGTTAAGGAGTTATTGATACTTCAAGTGCAAAATGATGATATAAAACCATGATAAAAATGCACTTTTAAGTACTAATCACTAGCATTAATCAAATAAGATGACTAATGTAATCATGTTAACAATCTATAATCTGATTGGAACCTCCTTTGTGTGTGGTTTCCAATTGAATAATAAGAGTTTATACTATACTTGTTTGACATACCATTAGTGGAACCTCTAACCTTGACATTTGTTATTATTATTGTTTAATCCTTACATTAATTTTCCATCTCCAAGTTCTCATCATCATCTTCTTCTTCTCTTTCTTTATTATTATTGTTTAATCCTTACATTAATTTTCCATCTCCAAGTTCTCATCATCATCTTCTTCTTCTCTTTCTTTATTATTATTGTTATTATTATTATTATTATTATTGTCATTGTTGTTATTATTGTTATTACTATTATTATTGTTGTTGTTGTTGTTATTATTGTTGTTGTATTATTGTTATTTATAATTTGTACAATTAAGCTCCCTGTGGTTCGACCCTGGTCTTACCGGGTTATTTATTACATCGACACTCCTGCACTTGGGAGAAGACATCAATCTTTTAGTCGTGTCAATGGCCTGAGTAAGGAGTCTTTAAATAATCTTCTATTGACTCTTGAGACGCATCCTAGAGGAGATGTGCATCGTGTAATTCATGATTTATGGCCACCATTTCATAAAGAACATGATCGACTTAGTTTTGGGAATCTGACTAAAAAAGACCTTATTTGCCAATTTTTAAGAAAACTGGATGGGAAGCCTATCCGCGACCCATAGAGGGCGTTTAAGCCGTTCTTGGATGTAAAACCAAGGGAAGATGTGAGCCACAATCACAACCACCTGTACATACACATGCTTTTTTAAAAGTAAATAAATAAATAAAGAGAGAGAGAGAGAGAGAGTGTGAGACTCTAGCTGGCCTACAAATAGGTGGTATGATTGCCTTTCTAATTTCTCATCTATAAAATCCTCTCTTCCTTCCTTTCATTTCTACTCAACCCATACATTCAACAAATACAGAAGTGTATAGAAATAGCAAATTCCTCAGGTCATCATATAAGAAATATTTGTGTTTTCGGTGGATCTAGTCCTGGGAAAGAAGAGTTTTTAGAATCAGCAAATCATCTTGATCAGGTGCTAGTGACACGACTGAAAGATTGATGTCTTCTGCCAAGTGCAAGAGTGTCGAAGTAATAAATAACTCGGCAAGACCGGCGTCGAACGACAGGGAGGTTAATTGTACAAATTATAAATAATAATAATACAACAACAATAACAATAACAACAAGAACAATAATAATAGTAATAACAGCAATAATAATAATAATAATAATAATAATAATAATAATAATAATAACAATAATAATAATAATAATAATAGAAGTAGTAGTAATACTACTACTAATAATAATAATAATAAAGAAGAAGAAGAAGAAGACGAAGAAGAAGATGAGAACTTTGAGATGGAATATTGACGTAAAGATTTAACAATGTTAACAATAAATGTCAAGGTTAGAGGATCCATTAATGGTATGTCAAACAAGAATAGTATAAACTCTTATTAGTCAATTGGAAACAACACACAACGGAGGGTCCAATCAGATTATATATTGTTAACATGATTACATTAGTCATCTTATTCGATTAATGCTACTACTTGTAAATCTCGTCAAGCATTCATGATTATAACTTATGTTAACAACAAATCAAGTTCCTTTCATAGCTCAGGTGTCGGTTATACATACAGTATGGGCTATGAAAGTGCCAACCATTTGTACTCAGGTGTCGGTTATACTATACAGTATGGGCTATGAAAGTGCCAAGTATTTGTTGTACCAAGTGTTATACAACATAAATCAAGATTAGTCATTTAACAAGCAAAGTATTAAAGAGTGAACAAGATAACAAATACAAAACATTAAAGTCCATATTGAGTTTACACTATACTTATTCTTACACCATTAGTGTAACCTTTTCACCTTGGCATAATAAACTTAGCTAGACATAATAAAAGAAAGAAAAATAAATAAACAAAATAAGAACATAAATAAGATAAGAGTTAACTAAGTAAAGGAAAGGAAATGAAAGACATAAACTTGATATTAATGAAAGCAAAGCATAAACATTACAAAAAATACAAAGAAAGAAAGCAAGAGCATGATCTTGATGAGGAGACCAAGATGTCTAAATGTATGGCAAATGCCTCCTTTTATAGGCCAAAATTGGGAACAATTGATTTGATGACTAATTGATGAGTGGGTGGCCAACTCTTGACTTGGTGACAATCTTTATCTTCTCTTGTCTGCCCAAAACGTCATTAATAATGTCACAATTGAAGCCAATCAAAAACATAAAAGTTGTAGGCAATTATCTCAGCTTTCTTGTGTAAACAATTCAGCTTATTTGGACTTCTAGAACTCCAGATATGGCCAAACTACTAAACAGTGCTTGGGCTGGAGGACAGATTCGGGCTTCTTTGTTGTTGCAACAATTTGGACTTGAAAATAGCCTTCTTAGATCTTGGGCTCCATATGAAAGTTGTAGGCCTATGTCTTACCTTTCCATCCATATAAAGTAGACCTAAATCTGAGATCTAGAGCTCCAGATATGACCCAATTACCAAACAGTGTTCTGGTTTGGATTGCACCAACATCTCTTTTCTAATTTTCGTCATCTCTTTGCCCTTGCAATTTAAGTTCTTAAAGTCATCAATCAATCCTTTCATTTATGTAATAGGCCTGCATTTAAAATGAACATTTACAACAAATTAAAGGTATCTTATATTATTAGATATATTATTATAAAGCATGCTTTAGTTAAGGAGTTATTAATACTTCAAGTGCAAAATGATGATATAAAACCTTGATAAAAATGCACTTTTAGGTACTAATCACACCCCCCAACTAGCTTATTACTAGT